GCTGCACAAAATGGCTTTTGGATGAGCTCAGGACTGGCCAAAGCCTAAACTGGTTTGGCTTGCAGGATTTGTGGCAGCTGCAGCTCCAAATCCAGCCTGGGATGGGTCCCAGTGATACGGGTAGAGAAGCCATCTCTCACTTCAGAGAGCTCTCTGCCACCATCCAGCTCCAAAGAGAGAGGAGAAGCTGCCCTGGGTGTGAGCAGAGCTCCAGAGCAGGGTGGGATGTGGGTCACAAACAGGCTGCTGGGCACGTACTAAAGAGGTCAGCAATGTTGTCAAAACCCTGGCTTGGGGTTTTTCTGTGTTTCATGGGTCTGGAGCCCCAGAGGGCTCTGGGTCTGTGGTGTGGCAGCTCCATCTTCATCCATGGTGGGAGCAGGAAAGAGCTTGGATGGACTCTGGCCTTTGTGCTTCAGGAGTGCCAACAGCATGAATAATGTATAGGAGTTCAATTCTGCTCTCCCTGGCTGGGGGCAAGGTGTCCCAGCTGATAAGAACTGGGAGCCCAGTCTTGTTAAAGCCAGTGTTAGACTAGACCTTCATGAGATCCACTGCCTCAAGCAGTTCTATTGTTCAAAGCACATTTGGTTAATTAGTACATTAACTAATAACCTTCTCAGCATCCCAGGTAGGGAATAGCTGTCTCCCAAAGGAGGAAACAGGCAAAGTGACTCACTAAGACTGGATGCAGAAGCTTAGCAATGCAGCTGTTAAGTCTGGGTTTTTCTGTCCCAAATGATTTTGTGTGACTGCTGCTGCCTTATGCACATAATTTCCCTGAGACAGAAATTGAGGAGTTTTAAAAACTCCCAAGGGAGTGCTCAGGCCCAGAGAGGGAAGGTACCCCCTGGACAAACCTGACAAGAACTGAATCCATCCAAATACTCAGAGGAGGCAATTTGCTTCACCCACATGCACCAACTAAGGGATAAAAACAAAACCACTTCTCATTTTCAAGGAAAATTTTTCTCACCACCTTGGCTTCTCACTCACATCTTCATCTCCTCTAAATTTCATGAGCAAATGGCCCATGTGTGGAGGAGAGAGCACACGAGGAATGGCAGTGGGGCTGTGTTTGTACTGGGATGGGATCAGACCAGAGGGATAAGACCTGAAGAGATTCAGACAAACAGCCAGAGGGGAAACTTTGATGCTGAGGAAGCCCTTCAACTCCAACACATGATGGTGAGCAGCTGATTTACACAGCTTTGCAGCGTGGTTGGAAAAAGCCCTGAGCTGAAGCACAAGGGCAGAGTTCTTTGGCTTGCCAGACCCATGACAACACCACAGACCCTTCCTCACGAGCCCTGGTCCCAAACAGAAAGGAGAAGCTTGTTCTCTCCACCCAGCTCTGACCTGAAGGCCCTCTGTGCTTTGCCTGCTCTCAAATGACAGTTCTCAGCTGCAAGGATGCGTGTGCAGAGGGATGAGAACCAACTCCTGCACGCAGGGATGCATCCCTGAGGAGGAGAATCTCACGGGGTTTAATCATGGGGCCACGTGCCTTAGCAGTCTGCTGGCTCCCAAGCAGCCCAGGCAGCCACAGCCCTGCTCCACACTGGAATGTCAAGGGAGAGCCTGGAATGAGGACCTGCTGAGGCCACAGAAGCAGAAGGCACCAAAGCAAGGGGCCTGTCCTGTAGAAGGGACTCCTTTCATGGCCACAGCTTAATCCACCACCAGTTTGAGCCCACAGCAGCCCAGATTGGAGGCTACAAAAATATCCCTGTTCAGCAACTCCTCCCTTGTCCTTTGTGAAGCTCCAGCATTTTAATCATGTTCACACCTCCCTCTCCTGACACAAACCATCTCAGCTCCCTCCCAGGTCCACAAAACCTGTGCATTCCTGGTCTCAGTCTCTTGCTGATGCATCAGACATTCTCCCCTCCATCAGCCTCCCAAATGTCCCTGTTTCTTATTCTCTGTATTCCCATCTTTTCCCCCCCTGCACCCTAATTTGACTAGGATTTGTTAAATAACCAGCTAGTGCTGAGGGGCTACATGCAGCTCTGGGTGTGCTGTTGATAGACTGAGCACCCCCAGCCCCTTGCATGTCCCCAGTTCTGTATTTCTCCATCTCAGGACCAACAGGAAGGTGTTGCTGCTGTAGGGGCCCCGTTATTGGGAAAGGCAAAACACCCCAAATGTGTCTGGTGAATGTGTCTCATCCTGCTCTGTTAATTTTCACTCGGAATAAGGGTAAAAACAGAGTTCCTCAGGTTGTTGGGGGTTTCTAGAAGAGAATTTTTGGTGCCAGAGCAGCTGAAATTGGTTTTCATTCTTAGCTTCAGCCTGACATGCTGCATGTGGCCATTCTTGATCTGCTCCTGTGCACATCTAGAGCCCTTTGATCATCATTCTCCAACCTGTCTTGCTGGTATTCCTAGAAGAGTATTACACAAGAAATGCACTATTCTCCCCATGCACAGGTGTTTTCAAGCAAGCCTTGTCTTCTCAAAGCCTGGTAAAATAAACCAGACTTGGATCTCTCAAATTCCTTAAAATTCCCAGACTGTGAGGTTAATACAAAGGGCACAAATTTACCTGTGGGGTCACATGGCTCCACATCAAACCCGTACCAGAAATCAGGATATCCTGAGCAGGGTCTCAGTGGAGTTTGTTACAGGTGATGCTTATTTTTAGGGACATTTTAATAAGCCTAATCAATCACAACAAATTACTAACAAATCTACAACATTTTTCACCTGGGGATGTTAGGTTACTTCGGCAGAAATTGCAGTGAGTAATAGTGGTTATTAAAGAAGATCTAAAGACTTAACTTTTTTCACAGGATAATTCAAGATGTTGCCATTATGCTTCTGCTCTGAATTACTTTGCAGAGAAATTACCCTCCCCACTGACTTGAGAAAGCTGAGCAGGTCCAGCCTCCTGTGCTTAAATTTATCCCTTGTAAATATGGCACAAAGTGCCTCATCCTCTTGACAGCCTTCCTTACAGGATTTTCCTACAGGCCCTGTAACAGCTTCACAGCTGTGCTGGGATTTGGAATTTCCAGTTCCCTGCATCCTTAAGGGACAGGACTTCTAATGGGGAGATCTTACCAGTCCTAAATCCTGGAATACTCCTGATTTTCACAGCTTGTCCTATCTATAGAAGCAGACGGCCCAGGGGCTGTTTGATTTGTGTCCTCCTAAGGGTCTTCCCATGCTGGGTACTCCCAGACAGACTTGTGAGGTGTTTGCCTTGCTCTAAAAACCTGTCATTGGTTTTGTTGAGGATTTGGAGGAACATAATGCCTGTGGCGAAGGGTGGGATTCATCTGTGTGTCTTGTTGGATGTAACTGGGACTTCAGCCCTGTGCTGTTGGGAGAAGAGGGTCCAGTGAGAGGCGCCTCTGGGTCCTCAAGCCATGGGTGCATTGCTGGGATGGGCAGCTCTGGTGCTGCTCCATGGAAGGGCAGCAAGATAAAAGTCGTGGAGCTCACGAGGCTTTTTGTGGGGACACGGTCCTGCTGGAGAGAGCCTCTGTTTGCGAGGCAGGCTCGTCCTGGCGGGAGCGAGAGCGAGCAAGGACAGCTGGGATTGCTGTTCCCGCGGGTGCCGTTGGGATCCGGGCTGCAGAGGCCACGCTGTCCCCAAGGCCGGGTTCCTCTCCCCCTCTCTGCGGGTGTTATTTACACCATTTCCTGCCCAGGGAAGTTCAGGAGTTTGACGTTGCTGGGTTGGTTTCCGCTCTCCTGCCCAGCTCCCTTCGGGAGCTCTCGCAGAGCCCGGCAGCAGCCGGGCTGGACCCCGCGGGCGGGATGGAGGTGCCAGCGTGGCCAGGGAGGGAAGTGCCACCCATGTCAGGCCAGACAGCTCGGGCTCAACCAGCTTGGGAGGGCTGGAAAACCAACCCTGTGTCCATCCCTCCGGCTCAGTCCTGCTGTGGGACTGGACGGGGCTGGCAGGAGGAAGGAGGACGCGCCCGGGCATGGCTGCAGAGCTTTTGGGTTCCTGCCGAATTGACGCCCTCCCCTCTCCCCCCTCATCCTTCCCGCCTGGCCTGCGTCTCCCCTCCCTTCCCTTCTCCCTCCCATCCCGCAGCAAACAAAATGGCTGCTCCATGGCCATTTTGTTTCCCGTCTGGAAGGGGGAAGCCGGGACGCTGGGACTTGGCTCTTTTTTGGAGGCTGTGGCCATGTCCGAGCCCAACTCTCCCGTCTCTACGTGGCACCGGCTGTAGCAAGAGAGAGAAAGGGAAAAAAAAAAAGAGAAAAAAAAAAAAAAAAGGACATTTTGGAATGAGACCAAAGGCAGAGGCAGAGAGTGGGTAGTTTTGGCGTATGTTGAGCACTGAAAATGCCTGGAATTGCCAAACTGAGCTTTTGTATGAGCAGCGTAAGGGCTACTCGGTGCACGCAGAGCCGCGGGGCTGCACGGAATAGCCGGACGGAAAGGTTTGTTCGCTACATTCAATAAAACAGCCCTCCTTTCTTCTGGATTTATAAAGTACCAGAGAGCACTGTTGTCTTAATTTGTTTTTGGACGGGCGGATGGTTTTACACATCGGCTTGGTATGACCAGAGCCGGTCATTGCCGGACGGTAGCGTTTTAACCTGTTGTGTGTCCTCTTGTTTTTGGTGCATACGGGATCTGACCTTTCCACCGAGCTGGCACTGCCTGGATTTAGCTGATGTAATCCGGAGGATATTTTTTTAGGGATTTTTTGTTTATTGCCTTCTTGCCTTGAAAGTTTTCATCTCAGGAATAAAAACATCTTAATTTAAATATTTAAAGCAATAGCTGTTCTTGGCTTTTTAAGCCCTTGCTTTTCTCCCAAGGCTGGAGCTGTACTGTGCTCACAAGCTGTTTACTGCACTCTGTGTGTATCCTGCACACGTTAAGGTGTGATACACAACAGAAACACCATCAACAGGAACACGCCTTGAAAGTTTAAAGCAACTTGGTGGCGTTACCATAAAATTTTGCGCAGAAGCAGGGCAAAACCACCAGAACATGCGCCAAATAAAAGTGATTTTTTTTTTTTTAAGTGATTCTGCATTTCCTTCAATAGCCTGGATGTCTTGCCGTTAGTAGCCACGTCACTTTGTTTGTGGACACTCTGAGGAGCAGATCCCTGCCCTGTGGCATGGGGGGATCAGGCTCTGATAAGGTGCTGGAATGATCATCCTGCTGTTCCTTGAGTGGCTTTCCAGACATGTGGAGAGAAGCAGACACTTCCAGAGCGGAGCTGGGAAGGAGAGCAGAAAGAGGTGAAATGGCTTTCCTTGCACAGAAAGGTATTTGATTTGCCTCCATATCCCCTTGGCTTGTTTGCAAACAGACAATAGAGACAGCGGCAGGGCCATGGTGGTCCCGGAGCCGGGGCTGCACGGGCGGGCGCTGGGCGGGTGCTTCACGGTGCAAATGTAATGTTTTGGTCCAAATCTACGTTACAGGTGGACATTACCTGCACACCTTTCATGAGCAGCTTATGAACTCAACATTGAGAAGGTTAACAGTATTAATAGAATAGTTTTATAGAGTATTACATTAAAAAAAATTTTTTTCTTTTGATTTTTGACTTAGCTTATAGAATTGAGGGCAGAACAGGTAAAAATAAGCCTGAAGGATATTTTTTCCTCTTATTTTTAGTATTTAATGAAATTACACTGTGAAATATGAGCGGCTATCTTTTACGACAAAAATTCTGGGATTTTTTTTTTTTTTTTCTTCAGGAGAGGGTGAGGTATATACAAATTTACAAGGAAAATACAAAAATATTTAGAAAAAGCATTACCTTTATGGCCACCTTTAATGATGCATTTAGGAAGGCTTAATGAAAGATAAGTCATATAACAAGCAGGTTACAGATGCCTGCATTATAGATAACAATATCAGATTCATTAATAATGATCCAGATGTTTAGAAACATCTGATAGGACTCAAGACAACCCCTTAGTAATGAGCAGCTTTTATAAAGATACCTGCAAATTGTTTAATAATAAATGCGATGACAATATTGATGTGAAATATTCCCTATGTCATTAAAAGTGTGTGGAGTAAAAGCATTGCTGAGAGACACGGGCTGTTACAGCATTGAACTGTAAATATTTTCACTTCCATTTCTCTTTCCCTATTCATGGTGTCTTTGATTAATTGTTTCAAAGTGTGATATTTAATATTGACTTTAGGATGGGGTGTTTGCGAAGGTGGTTGGCCTTGCTTTGCTGAGAGGTTTGCGTGGCCTAGGAGAAGTTATAAACAACTTGTCTTCATGGCTAGTTTGGCAAATGTCATTTTTTATTGCTTTCCCGTGGCACAGGGTGTGTCCAAGATGGGTTTTTGGTCTGTTTTCTGCTTTTTGTGTGAGCGGGTTTCTCGCTGCCAGCCGGATCAGCAGCTCCACTTGGCGCTGTGGGTCCCCACAATCTTGGGGAGTTACTGAAAACCTTCCACCTTTCTTTTGGCTTATTTTTGGTTTGATTTTCAATTTTTTTTTTTTTTTTTTGGTCTGTTTTGCTTTTTATTTTTCCAGCGAGGTTGGGAGGACACGAAGCCAAGGGAACAAAATGGCCACACTCGGCCATTTTGTGCCAACGCCGCCGTTCCAGGGAGCCAGGGCTGGTTCTGCCCCGGCTCCAGGAGGCTGAAAATCCTCTTGGACACTCAGGGTCCTCATTTCCCACTGAGAAGCCCTCCCTGTCCCTGGCACGTTTTGGCACCGACACAAAGGCTGAAAGTGGTGTCAGCTTTTAAAGCAGAGACTTTGTTGTTTTCTGGTTTCCTCCTCCCCCCTCCTCCATTTCATTCAGTGCTCCTTAATGAACCAGATCAGCTCCTCAAGGCTTCGGAGCCTTTCCAGCTTGTCTCCGAGGTGGGCTCCTTTTAAATGCAGACACTTGGCCATGCTCAGGAATCTCTGGTGCAAAGATGTCTCAAAATTTGGGGGGCATCATCTTGGGGTTTTCTGCTGGGGTCATCACAAGCCACCCTGAGCCCTGATAAATGAGGAGCAGTTTAGGTCACTTGATCCCAAAAACAAGTCTGAAAGCTGGACTGGAAATGCCATTTTTATTGCAGTCTGGAGGATCTTGCTGTGAAAAAATACCCTTTACCTCCCAATTTTCCTCACCCCTCCAAGCACCTGTAGACAGTGGGAACATGCAGTGACACAATCTGTGCTCAGGGACCTTCGTGCAGTGGCTTGCAGAAACCGATGAAGCGTTTTCACAGAAATCAGATTTGGTCAATTTTGAGGGACCCATATGAATCTGGAAAGTGGAAATTACAGGGCCACTGCCTTAAGGCCTGCACATAAAGTGGTGTTTTTTGAAGAGGTTCTTGGCAATCAGCTATCCAAAAATCTTTGAAAAACCTGGTTTAATCTCAGAAGGCAGTGAGAAGCTTTGGGTGTAGGTCTCTCACCCCTACAGACCCTGCTGGCTGTTTTATCCAGAATTTTGCATAGCTGCATCACATCCAGGCAAATCTGGGCACATCTCCTTCCTTCCTTGTCTTTTGTCTTGATGGTTTAGACCTCGGGCCATGAGGAGAGGGAATTCCTGTCATTGCAATTTGTGTAGGACAAACAAGTGTGACAGTGATACCGAGGGTAGGATGCTCTTAGTCATCCTTACTGGGCATAAAAAAATCCCCCTGTTTGATCCATAAATCATCCTGTTTGACTCCTTTCTTCACAGATCCTGCTAAAATCAGGATTCCAGAGTCAGCAGCTGGGTATTCCCAAAACCAATACTCATTAAGACAATTATTATAATTAAGTCTTCTGTTTTCAGGTTTACTTATAGAAGTCAGAAGGGATTTTTTTTTCTCTCTCCATGTATAATTACATCTGTATGAGCTCAGAGTTATTTAATGTAATTTCCCACCAACAGTTTGAGATTGGCCCACATGCCTGTTGTCTGCAATGGTATCAAGAGTGACCTTTGAAATGCCTGCCTGATACATCTGGTTTATGTGCTCAGAGCAATATAAACCACCAGATTGGGAACAAGGAAAAATTGTTCCTCCAGGTCAGCTATTAAATTCTCCTTGGAGAAGAGAAGCATCCTCTGCCCCTATGCATCACCCAGGAATCATCTAGACCACCCACCCTCCCAGTCCCTGACCAGTGCAGCATCTGGTGGTTTTCTTGTCACCCTTCTGCTTGATGCTTGTGGCAGCAGCTTAATTTTTGGGAAGCTGAAACATTTTAGTTTAAACTAACCCTTCTGTCCCCACGGAGCTGAGCAGTGACAGAGCTGATGGACCCTGAAGCCTGGCTGTCACCTCACCGAAGCTCTGGCTGGGTGAGGAGGGATGTGCAACCCCTGTGCATCACTTTCTGTGCTGATAAAACCAGGAGAAACGGCATTTCCCATCAGGAGGCTGTTTGGGATGGGTGGGCTCTCCAGTGCTGGAGGAACCAGCTCTGCCACGTTGGGGTTTGGACGTGGTTCATGCCTGTTACAGCAGCAGAGGCCTGGGCCAGATGGTCCAGCACAGTGGGTCATTCCCTGTCAAGGACCAGTTTGTCAAAGGAAATTAAGAGAATTACCTGGACTGTGCTCAATGCCAGTGAGGAGAGCCTGTGGAGAGCTCTGGAACAGGGCACTTCCAAACCTTGCTGCAGAGATACCCTTGTACCTGAGGCCATCCTAAACTCTCACAAGGATTCCAGCTGCAGTAGCTGACCAAATCTTTGGGATTATTTAGCCTGTTGCCTGGTAGCTGTGGAAGAACAAAGCATTAGGCAGCTTTTATCCCTTTGGAGACTTCTGCTTGAGCCCCCTCCTCTCCCAGCACAGCACTCAGCTGATGCTCGTGGAGGCTGGGGACATCTCCTGCTGAGCTCCCAGGGGAAGGTATCCTTTGGGACTGTGCTGGGCTGCACATGCAGCCTGCCTGGCGTGGCTCCCTCGTCGTTAGGGCTTCTTTCATCTCCAAGGGGAATTCTTTCTTCTCCTTGCAAAAGAGCCTCACACGTTTCTTTCAAACTACCAGATTAATACCTCGCCTCTGTATTTGGGTGTACAGAGAGTGAAGAAGCCTCAGAAGGTGAGCCAAGGGCTTGGGGGGAAGCCAGTCTGTCTCAGATCCATGCTAATACTGCTTGGCTGGGCTGGAGCATTAGAGGGACAGCACGGCTGCATGTTGCACTCATTTGTTTAGGAAATAAGATCTGCCTTGATGTACTCGATACCATTACATTTGCAGCCTAAAAGCTTCCTTGTACTTAGTTATTTCTAATCTGCTCAATTCCCTGGAGTGCACAGCAGCTAAATTGATGGATTCTCTTATCTGGTCTGGCAGGTTTGTTCTAGATATGCTGTGTGTTCAGGAGGTGAGGTCAGCCTGGCTGGGTGTGCTTGGCGCTGCTGCAGCTTCCCGAGAGCTCTGCTATCTCCATGGGTAGCCCCAGGTTCCAAGGGCAGGGCTGCTGCTTTTGTGCACCCTTGGGTGCATGAAGTCTGCAGCTGGTGTGATTGCCAAGCACAAGGTACAGTCCAAGTGGGCTGAAGGAGGTTTGAAGAAGGAGAAAGAGCTCCAGGACAAGGCTGGATATATGAGTCCTCTCCCCTGCCGTCAAGAATTCTGATTTTTCATGCATTCCTCTTTGCAGGACCTGTGGAGCAGCCAGTGCCTGGATAAGAATCATCTCAATGCCTGGATAAGAATCATCTCAGTGCCTGGATAAGGATCATCTCAGTGCCTGGATCAGGATCATCTCAGTGCCTGGATAAGAATCATCTCAATGCCTGGATAAGAATCATCTCAGTGCCTGGATAAGGATCATCTCAGTGCCTGGATAAAAATCATCTCAGTGCCTTAGGCTGCCACGGTCCCAAGCTGTCCTTGAGGCTGAGGTAGTAGATTGAATAGTTGTGGAGTCTGGTCCTCCCTCTGAGCTAACTATACAATCTACTGTCTTTCCTAAGGAGACAGTCAGGTCTTCAGGTCTGCTCATCCACTTCTACACCAGCTGTGGGGCAGGTGGTGCAAGCAAAGCAAATCCGTGCCCGTGACCCGTCTGTTCTGCTCTGTGGAGGTGAGGTAGTAGGTTGTATAGTTTGGTGGGAGGGATTTGATCCCATTTCAGGTGATAACTATACAGTCTATTGCCTTCCTTAAAGAGCAGCAAAACCACGGAGGAGCTCCCGAGGCATCGCTTCTTTTGTTGAGGATCCAAAAAAGCAGCATGGCATTGTTAAACAACTCAGTGGGTGTTTCTCTTACAGCATCCAGAATTGCATTCTTCCAGGAATTGCTTCATGCCTCAGGCACTGGAGCATGGAGCCACCTGCTTCCAGGGAACCTACTTCTCTTTAAGATTCAAGAGAACCAGGGAAATTACTTTGCACAGCAGCTCCCAGTGTTCAATTCTACTCTTTTTTTTTTTTTTTTGCAGGAGATGGGTTGAAGTTGTGAAGTGTTTAAATGTGTTGATCTTTTCTGGTCTGTCCTCAGGTCTGGAGGGGAGCAGATACTTTTGTGTAAATGGGACAGATCTGAGCTCATGATTTAATTTTTTTGTGCCCAGTTCTGAAGTTTGGGTTCAGAACCAGACCCAGGGGCAAGCTCAGCCTGTGAACTCAGAGCCCTGGGAGCTGATCAGATTTGGCTGCTTGGCCCCTGCTCAGGAAGTGCATTTTGTTTTGGACAAGTTCCCAGCCTGTCCCATGGAACAGAGTTAGAGGGTGGTTCTTTCTGATCTGATAATCCCTTATCAACTGAACTGCCTCACATGCAAACCCTGTCAGGGAAGTTTGGGGCTCTTGGGTATTTGCATAGGATGAACCAATGATTCAGACTAGAATCTTGTTCTAAAGTGGAGACAGGTAAGGAGGAGACATGAGGCAAAAGGAGCAGGTTCTAATCCTTCTGGGTTCTCCCAGGGAGTCACCTGACAACAGACATGTGAGAAGTCATCACGCTTCAGAGCTCTGGCCCTTGGCAAGGGGCAGGGAACTGTTCATTCTTCTGTTTCTTAGGAGCAGATGGGGCTATCCCTCTGCCTTTTTCCAGAGCAAGTAGGATCGAGACCAGGAGTGGAGCTGTAACACGATCAGGGCTGCACCAGGAAGGACATTTCAGGCCATTATCACGACCATCTTACTGCCAGGGAGATGTGAGATCCGAGACACCGGGGAGCGAGGGCAAGCAGAGGACACCTTCTCAGATGAAGTGGGAGGGAGAGAGCCCAGAGAAATTGGAGCCCTCAAATTTCACCCTGAGCAAAGGCACAGGGAGAGGCAGACCTGGCTGCCGTGGGAGTCCCCAGGATGAAGCAGCTCATTTCAGGCCCCTCTGCTGGGACAGGGCGTAGCTGGGACACAGCTGCTGGGTGGGGATGCTGCAGTTGCAAGCGGTGAAGGAATGCAGCCCTCTCTCCATAAATCTGGCTTTTCAGCAGTCCTGGCGACTTGCTGTGCAAAACTACAGCTTGGTCCTCTGAGCTGCATTATTATCCTCCAGCTGCTTGCTCAGGGGCAGGGCTCCTGCCCGCAGATTGCCTGGAAGGTACCAAAATAGCAGCAGAAGCATGGGAACAGGGCACTATCCACTTCATCTGGAGAGGTGTCCCCTGGAAAAGAGCTAATCCCACGTGTCCCAGATGGAATCCCTTCAGTCCCCCTCCATGGCATTGATACTAACTCAGAGAATCTCAAACAGTGGAACTGTGTGAGCTGGAAGCCATGAATAAAATATTACTGGAGATATTCCCTCATGAAAATAAACTTGGTTTGACTTTTTTAAAACAGAGTCTTTTTATTGCCCTGAAGTGAGCTTGGCTGGTGAACTGGGACCTCTCGAGGGGTGATCACTGTTCCTGACTGACCAAAATCCTGGGTGTGAAAGGGAAGCCACAGGATGAGGATGTGGAGCAGACTGAGTTGGCCAAGTAGCTGAGACCACGTGTGGTGGCTGTCAGCAGGTGCTTTCCTGACACAAATTTTTTGCACAACTCCTACACAAAGCCAGACCCGCATCCTCACCCTCAGTCACATCAATGGCTGCAGGTTGGGCTTCTCTGCCCTGGATAGTCCTTGCTATAAACATGTTTATAATGTGTATAGCAGCAAGAGGAGAACACGAGGTTCACTAACCCAAATCAATCCCAGCAAGGTCTAAGGAACCAGCCCAGATAATCTTTAATTGCTCCAATGGCACAAAGGAAAGGGCAGCTTTGCCCAGGCAGAGGGTGACCATCCTGGCTGAGCTCACACCCATGGATCTGTGGGACACCCACCTGACTCACCAGCCAGGATCCCAAGCCCATGGCACTGGGGCACCCACACCATCCCTGACCACAATGGCAGGCAGGAAAAGACACTTGCTTTCAGTAAAAAGCAGGCAGGAAGCAAGATCAAGAAAAGGTGGGACCCTCTCAAGACACTGTAGGACAAGAGCACTTTCAGCCTAAACACTCTGAGGGAATACTTGGAAGCTGGATGGAACTGCTAGCAGCATCACCCCAAATGCAAACACCCAGCAGGGTGTAGGTGCTCACCCCAACCCTTCTGACCCACTGCATTCATGGGAGATTCAGCAGCTGAAACAAAGGCAGCTCGTCTCCCTCAACCAGCAGCAAACACCTCCCTGCCCCTGCTGGAATAGGCCCAGGGATGGAGGGAACCAGCAGAGGTTCATAAAGAAGCCAGGCCTCACAAACACCACAAATCCCATCATTTCACCCCAGTCAGCAGCTGATGGGTAATGCCTTCTCCTCCTCCCAGCACACAGGGCACAGGGCTGTGAGAACCTGGCAGAATCTCCGCCAGGGTCACCCCAGTGCCAGAGTCCCCTTTATGCCCACCCCAGAAATGGAGTGGAAATGCTGCACAAGTCTGCCTTGAAAGTTTGTGTGCACTCCCCTGTGCACCACCCCAACCCTGCCCGTGCCTGAACCCAAATCCAGCATTCAGCCAAGCCCCCAGATGCCTGTGTGGGCAGGCTCAGCCCCTGTCCCGGGGAGCAGGGCGAGAGGAAAGCGGATTTCCTTCTGGGCTGGACTTCTCTGCTGCAAGCATCTCTATAAATAGGTCCTTGCACAACAGCCTGTCCCCACAAGTCAAAACCTCCAGGAAAACAAAACTCAAGAGCTTCTACAAGGTTCACAGCCCCACACCAATGATAAAACACTTCACTCCTGGAATTCTGCTGGTGGTGATAATCAGCAGCAGCAGCAGCAGCGTTGTGCCTCCTTGGCTCTCAGCAGGGTGGGGGATCCAGCCCTGCAAAAAATCAGGGCTTGCCCCAGTGCCCCGCTCTTGCTGGGAGGAGAAATGGTTTTCTGCTCTTGGTAGTGTTTCCAGGGAACTTTTAGGGAATGCCACACTGCCCTGCACTCAGATGCAAAAGCAGAGGAGGTCCTGAAATGCTCTCCCAGCTCCGAGCCCTCTCCCCTCCCCGGGCTGCGGAGCAGCCTCTGGGGCTGTGTTTTATCACCTGTCCATAAGGCAGGGAGGGATTTCTCACTGAAGGCAGCTGGGCAGCAGGAGCTCAGCTGCTCCCAGAGCGTGCAGCAGCCACGGCACGAGGTTATTTTTAATCAGATTCTTCACTACATCTGGGGCTGGCGATGAAACAAAGCTGTGCAGTGCGGGCAGGGTGTGCGGGGCCAGCTGAGCTGCCCAGTTCTCAGCGGTGCCTCTCCCAGTGCCACCTGCTGGTCACCTCCTGGCCGGGCTGGACTGGCCAGGGACCTCAGAACAGCCAGCTGGGCTCCTGCACACCGCTGCTGCTGCAGCCCGGCTCGGGAGAAGGGGAACGTGGAGCTGCAGGGCAGCTCTGCTGGGAAAGCAGCAGCAGGAGGATGGGGAAAAGCAAAAGGCAAAGTCAGGTACCAGCATCACTCCAGTGCTGATTCTGCCTCTCGAGGCCCTTGCCCCTTATGCTGCTCCCAGATGGATGTTCTGAGATGAACATGCTGCAAAAACCCAGAATCTGGGGAGTTACACTTGTATTTAACTTTTTTTCTGTGCTGCAAAGATGAAATTGTGTTTAGGGTGTGAGAGGTTTGTGCTGGGCTTCCTAAAACAGGGAACCAGATGTGCTCCAGCCATAGTTTTTATTTCTTGTTTTGCTCTGAGCCCTTTTTCTCTTGCTTCCCTTGCCCAAGAATTCCTGGTGGGGACACATTTTTACTTTACACTCAGCTGGATGCTCAAGAAAAATTCCCTACGTCATCCTCAATCCCCATGGCCTCCTTCTGCTTTTACAAAGGTTTAAAAACATTAAGTTACACCCTTACAAAAAGCAGCACATGGATGCTTTTGGAAAGCCAAAAAACCCCTTCAAGAGCCACAGAAGTCATGTTGTCTTTTAGCAGTTCTATGTAAGCACATAATGAAGAGCATTTTACAGGTATATTAAATAGCTCCCAGGTGTCCAGATCCCCCAGAGAGAGAGTGAACAGACTTTCACAAGAGGATTTATTCAGTGCATGCTCTGGGGATGCACAGGACAGAGCAGCAGTGGGGGATCTGAATAATGGCCCTCAGGTCATCCTCCACCTCATCTGTAAGAAATGAAAGGTTGCAATGTCCAGAGAAGGGGCTGCATCTCCCTGTTACCTTCCTTCCACCTGTCTGCAAAGCTTGGCACATATTTAACACATCTGACTGGGAATCCTCAGGTGAAGGGAGGAGAGATGTAGGGTAACAAAACACAGTGGCCCAGACAATGCCAGTGGTCCTGCAATGGGCCCAGGAGCCACCAATAACCTCTGACAATGTCACTTGTACCTCTGGAGCTCAGACTGTACCAACACAAGTGGGGACTTGTTCTCCTTGACCACACACACACACACAAGTTACACGTCAAGAGGAATCTGTATCTAAATGCAAATACACTGCAATTCTGCAAAGAATGAAGCCATGCAGGGAAAAGCTACGTGAAGGAGCTGGTGGCCTCTCTCAGCTCTGAAGGTTTCTCTCTGTGGTGCACACAGGTGCAGGCACAGGCGTAAAATAAATCTGTGGCTTGGGAGGAGGCAAGGGCTGCAGAGGGTGAAGAGGAGAGGGGTGAACAGCTGGGCAGTACTGGCCAGAGCTCCACCAGAACCAGGAGGAAACAGAAATCCTCAAAAAGCCACTCTATTTGGACAAGAAGGGAAAGAGGTAAAACTTGTCCAAAACTGAGCCAGACACACTGGGAAGGAAAAGAGCATTTTTGCTGGAAAAAACCACCAAAGTCAACCACCGTGTTTCATCTACAAACACCAAAGCCAACCACCATGTCTCATTGTCCCCAAGTCACCCTGCTGTCCCCAGGGTCAGGCTGTGGCAGGGCCTGCCAGCCACACGGGCAGATGGGTGGGAGAGCTCAACACTTCCAGCCTGGAAATAGAACAAAAGCCAGGAAAAAGGAGAAGCGTCCAAGGTCACCAGCATTATGGCAAACACCCTCCTGCCCTCAGGTCTCCTCAGGAAGGGGACAAGGTTCCCCCAGCATCAGCCTTGGCTCTCTGGGGCTGCAGCAGAGAAGGCAGCGTAAGGAGGGAGCGTGTGAATGTCCAAGGAGCCTCCTGAGCCCACCAGGGCTGTGGAACAACCAGCCCTGACCAAAGCCTTGCTGAGGGGTGCAGGGACAGCTGAGGAAGACCCTTCAGAGCAGAAGGCCCAGCAGGATGGCACTGGGGAGGAGGAAGAGTGAAAAGCCCGAGCAGGTACTGGGGGCTCCTCCTTTGGGTGGATCCACATTTGTCTGGTCCGAGTTTGTCTCCTGCTCTTCTGTGTCCAGGGCACCTGCTGGAAGAAGAGAGGAAAATGTGGAGTTAGAGGGGAAGATCTGGCACAAGAGAAGCTCCCTCTCATGCAGGTGTGCCATGACGTGCCCCGAGGCTCCGTGAGGCAGCAGAGCTCTGGTCCAGGGAAGCTGTGCGTTAGTGGGAGCAGGCTGTGAACATGACCATGCTGCAGGGACGAGACATCCAACCAGGGTTAGAGGAAAGAGTGAGGAAAAGTCTTGGTGCCACATACAAGAGGAGGATCCAAAGGACCAGTCTGACACTGCTCCTCCCAAGCCCTCTCCATGCTGCTTGGGGATCCCTGGGTGTCCGAGTGTCCATGCCAGGGCAAACTCCACGGTTGCCTTACCTGAGAGGGAGGTCTGGAAATGGGGGCTCGGCCCTTTTTTGTCTTTGGAGGATGATGTTAAGCGCAAGAACGTGGGCTCTTCAGGGCTGAGGAGCACTGACTTGGAGGGGGTTATGAGCTCAGCTCTATTGAAACCTAGCTTCATCTCTGGAACAGCTTGGCTGAGGGATGGAGATGGACTGGGAAAGGCTGATTTCTCTTTCCCATGCTCCTTGGCACCTTTCTTTATTTCTGGGACTGATCTGGGGCTGAAGGCTGTGCCCATGCTTTCTAATAAGGCTGGATCCTCTGTAGTGAAGGAACTAAGAGGCTCTCCAGTGTCTGCTTCTGGAGATACTTTATAATCTGGGTCTAAGGTGGGCTCAAAGGAAAGAGTGATGCTGGTTGCCTCAGTAGGATCAGGTCTTTCTGGTTCTGGCTTTGTGGCTGTGGCAGGTTTCAGTTGTGTCGTTGCTGTTGTGGCAGGTGCTAGTGTTGTAGCAGCAAGTTTTGGCTTAGCTGCAGTTGGGGTGGATTTTGGTGCGGTGGGTGTTGGCTTGGCCATAGTTGTGGTTGGCTTTGGCTTGGCTGTAGGGGTGGTTGTGGTCAGGTTTGGTGTGGTGGGTGTTGGTTTAGTGGTGGTGGTGGTTGTGGTGGGGTTTGGTGTGGTGGGTGTTGGTTTAGTGGTTGTGGTGGTTGTGGTGGGGTTTGGTGTGGTGGGTGTTGATTTGGTGGTGGTGGTGGTGGTTGTGGTGGGTGTTGGTTTGGTGGTGGTGGTGGTTGTGGGTGTTGATTTGGTGGTGGTGGTGGTTGTGGGTGTTGGTTTGGTGGTGGTGGTGGTGGTTGTGGTGGGTTTCAGGGGGGTGGGTGTCACCTTGGTGGTAGTGGTGGTTGTTGGCTTAGTGGCAGTGGTTGTTAGGGTGGGTTTTGGTGTGGTGGGTGTTGGCTTGGCCATAGTTGTGGTGGGCTCTGGCTTGGCTGCAGTGCTGGTGGCTGCTGGCATGGTGGGTTTTGGCTTGGCCATGGCTGTGGTGGCTGCTGGTGCTGTGGGTTTGGGCCTGGCTGGGGTTGCTGTTGGGAGCATGCTGGCAGGTTTTGGCTTGGCTGTGCTGAAGGGTGCCTGTGCTGGGGGTTTGGGCTTGGCTGTGGTTGGCAGTGTGGCTGTGGTTGTGGTTGGAAGTGTGGTTGTAGGTTTTGGCTTGGCTGTGGTAGACACTGGTTTTGTGGGTTCAGATTTGGCTGTGGTGGACACTGGTGTGGGCTCAGGTTTTGCTGTGGTGTGTACTGGTGTTGTAGGTGCTGGTTTGGCTGTGGTGGACACTGGTGTGGGCTCAGGTTTTGCTGTGGTGTGTACTGCTGTAGGTGCTGGTTTGGCTGTGGTGGACGCTGGGGTGGGTTCAGGTTTTGCTGTGGTGTGTACTGGTGTTGTAGGTGCTGGTTTGGCTGTGGTGGACGCTGGTGTGGGTTCTGGTTCAGCTGTGGTGTGAACTGGTGCTGTGGGCTCTGGTTTGGCTGTGGGCTCTGGTTTAGCTGTGGGCTCTGGTTTGGCTGTGGGCTCTGGTTTGGCTGTGGCTGGGGTGGATGGCCTTGCCTTTGTTGTCACAGAGGCCGGAGTGGTCTCTTCTACAACGAGTTCTGGTGAGAGATGAAAAGTGCCGTGGGTTAGGGCTGGCTCAGCTCACCTCCATGGATCCCCTGCACTGAGCAGGACAGGCAGAAACCAGTGAGGGGCTGAAACAGCAGACAATCCCTCGGGTCACTCTGGGCCATCCCCCACTCTGGGGTTCCCAACCTGGAGACATCTCATGGCCCTCACAACCTCCTGCCATGCAAGGGGCAAATAATGCTGCCTAACTGGGTACAAGCCCCTCCTTATCTTAAGGCAGTTGTCCTGTCTCATGGTCCAGCCCTGGAACTGAAATTCAGGGCCTTCCTGACAGCTCCAGGAGGGTTCAGAGCTCAGACCCAGCCTGGGGTCTCAGTCCCAACAGCCCCTCCTGGCCTCCCCTCACTCACCACACAGGTTGTTCACACAGACTGTGTCCTTGGGGCACATTTCACACGAGGGTCCTTCCATGTAGGGCTTTTTGCCTTTCACGTTACCCCTGGAAGCAGAAAATGCCAAGATAAAGAAGACATGAGGAAAGGGGAAACACCCATCTCAGAGAGGGGCTGATTCAGCTGGGATATCCCAGCCAAGGCAAAACTTGGGATTAATGCAGCAAACAGGTCTTGGTCTCCTGTCATGGCCTGTCAGGGCCATTTACTCACCAGCCTCACCCCAAGGTAGCTAAAGCCAGGGCAGACAATCCTGTGGAGCAGATCCCTCACCCCCCTCAGAACAGAGCAGGGGATGGATATTGGGACAGGGAATTCTGTCTCACTTCTGCTCCAGGCCCCAGGAAGGCCTGCAGCCACCGGCCTCTCTTGGTGCTCTCAGCAGCTCCAAGACAGTGGTGCCAAGGCTGGTCCCAGGGCTGGGAAGGGGGTACCCAGCTCTCCTCCCACGTCCAACCCTTCCTGATGTTGCAAAAGGGCTCCTCCACCCCAGGCTGCTGCCAGCAGGAAGAACAAGGCCCGGGCAGGGAGGGGTTTGTACCATCAGCTGCTGCCACCTCAGCCTTGAGCAGCTCTTGGGGAAGAAGGTCCCTCCCTGGGTGTGTTCCAGGAGTTGAACCAGCACTCAGCAGCCACAATCATGGGCCAGGTCCTCCAGACAACCCTTCCTTAGTCTGGGACCAACCCAAGATAACAGAAGCATTATTTGCAACTTCTATTTCTGACCAAGGGCAAACCCTGCTGTGACATAAGCCAGGGCATTTCCAGCACAGAAACCCCACTGAGATGCACCAGTCCATGCAGGGCCTGGGACTTACGGAGGATAATAGTTGCAAACAAGCAGGTGCATGTTCTCTGTTTCAATTCCATCAATCTTCTCACAAAAATGTGCCCCGCAGCCGATCTGATGCGTGTTTGACCAGACCACCTAAGGCAAAGACCAGGGTGGAGATGAGGGTTTGCACTGGGTGAAGGCAACTTGTCCCCTGGCTTAAAGGCTGCTCCAAAGACCTCCCCATCCCACAGAGTGTGCCCCAGATCCCACATCCCCATGTTGCTTTGGCATTCAGGATCCACCACCATCTCTGCTCCTACCCAGTCTGTGAACAAACGCTCAGACTTCATCTCTGTGTCTGAGAAAATCTGGCACCAGCTCTGCTGAGCAGCCACCCCTCCACCCCAGCAGCTGGTACCTGGGTGTAGTGGCCACACATCTGCCCGGGGACACACGTGGATGTTGTCAAGTTGTAGAATTTCTCCTCCCCGTTCCAGTCTTCCACGGCGAATTCTAGTTCCAGGGTTGGGGCCATAGCAAAGAGGTTTTCTCCCCGTCGGCCTCTCTCCTTGTTGTGGTCCCAGATGCACTTCTCTGCATAGGATTGAGCAAGAGCCTCCAGCTCCTTGTCCCAGGTCTGAAAGGAGCTCAGAGTCAGCACACAGGAGGGACACTGGGCTCTCCAGCAGGAACAAAGCACTCACCAAGCACCCCTGCACTGCCTGGCTGCAGTTTCCCCATCCATGAGGAAAATTCAAACCCCTACCCAACACAGCCCTCAGGAGAGGGGAGCTCCATGGTCAGTCCCAGCACAAGCCGTGGTTTATGGGTCAAACAGGAGAAGGTCAGGGCACCAGTATGACTCAGAACCTCTCCTGGAGCTCGTCTAACACCATCATGGAGCATCCTCAACTCAGTGTGGAGAAACCATGAAGTCATGGAAGAAAAAGGAAACCCACTGTGGGTCACGCCAGAGGGGTCTGGGGCCATCCCTCCTCACCCAGGGTGGGGAGAGGAGGGGAATGGGACACATCTCTCCTGGCAGCTGAACAAAGCCTGGGAGCACAGGCTCCTGGGAAACATCATCTGTTTGCCTGGAACAGAGACGTGGCTGCCTGGCTGCCAGCCAGGAGCCCCCTCTGGAGCAGCAGCGGCCCCGCCACCAGCTGAGCCCCCGGCCACAGGGGTGTGCAGGAGGAGAGCAAGGAGGAGGAGGAGGAGGAGGAGGAGGAGGAGGTGGAGAGCTTTTCAAGCAGGGATGCATATGGGCAATCCTGCCCTGCAGCTGTTTGGACCATCCTTGATGGAGAGAGCAGCTTGGCTCTGAAGGCAGCCCTGCAAAGAGGGTCCTGGGGGGACCTTCCTGGACAGAGGCAGGGCTGGATCCAAAAGGATCCAGACAGGAGGGCACGTCACCACTGGGGTGTCGAGGGGATGAGGACATGCCTGAAGGCACTCAGGGGAGGAAACACCTGGATGGCACACGGAGTGTTGGTTCACCTCCCACCATGGCCCCAAGCCACGCTGACAGAGGGCTGGAGACCCAGTTTGGGGAGCACACACCCCTCTCCCTCTGACACAGAGCTGGGCTCCATAAAGGGGGACTCACACCTGCATATTTGCCTCATTAGTAAAGTGGGTTTAGGCTACAGATTCCCCCCCCTTTCAACTAAATATTTCCAAAGCAACCAGCCCCATGTCCCAAAAGGAGGCACAGAGTGACCTCAGCCAGGCACAGTGCCACGGCAGCAGGTGAACCCAGAGGCAAACTCAGCTCAAGCAAAGTCCCAGGAGGGAGGTGAGGATGGTGTTCTCATGGAAAACCTTTACTGAGGAATCATCAGGGCTGCTAAACGTTTACTGGGCTTCAAAATGAAAAAGCCTTTGGCTCCAGACCAAGAGCAGGTCCTGTGTGTTCAAGCAGGAGCAGAAGCTGCAGAGGGAGCATCTCAAAGCACAGGGGCTTCAATCAAAGTTTCAGCCAGAAGCAGCCCCCACAGGTTTGGAATTGTCTCAAGGACCCTGAAAGATCATTTCCCTCAGGTTTTCTCTAAGACTTTGGCTCCAAAGCCCTGATACTCTGAGTTTGCTGTGCCTGGTGGGTTCAGTGGGATCATGGTGCTGAGGGCTCTGGCTCTGTCCCCTTTGAGTCTGCAGTCACTGGTCAGGCCTTCTCTCCCTGGGAGCCATGCAGAACACACCCATCTCACATATCGGCCTTGATGGAGAGGCAGCAGTGCCAACGAACACGCAGGGTCCTCTCCCTGGGACAGACCCTGCTCCTGAATCCTGGACTGGCATTCTTCATCCAAGCCTCTGCTGCTCCAAACCTCAGCCATCCCCTGAGCCCTCAGTTACGGGTCCTCTCTTCTACCTCCTGTTCCATTCCTCCTAATCTGCAACAACAATCCCACAGCAACTGACAAAGCCCTGTTTTCACACGGGTCTTCCCCCGTGCCTGGAATGCAGCTGCCTTAGAAACAAAGGCAGCAAGATGCAATTGCTGAGAGCACTTTGCAGCACAGCACCTCCCCAGCCAGAGGGAGCCCCGTGGCTGTGATGGGGGGACAGCATTTGGCAGCTGAGGAACCATCAGGAGAGGGGAGCAGGAGAGGAAGAGCAGGGTACAGAGCTGAGCTGGCCCCAAACAGGAGAGCTGGGAGTCTGTGGCTGCCCTCGGGGCTGGCTGGAACACCAAACCATGGGCTCTGCGGGACAGGCTGTGCTCGCTCCCCGCAGACACCTGCAGGGCTCAGCCTCCGTGGCCCGCAGCCCCCGCAGCGGGGCCGCTCTGCCCGAGCCCCCCGGGCTGCTCCAGCCCCGGCTCCCATCTGCGATTGTGCAACCGCCCGGCCCGGCTCCAGGAGCTCCGCTGGGGCCGCAGCCTGTCGGAGGATCAGCGGGTGGGCAGCTCTGAGCCGAGCCAAGTTCATCACGCTGCTGGCTTTGCCTCCCCCTCCCCACTCCCCAGGCAACGCTCTGTCGGGTTTCCTCCGGTTTTGGACTGCAGGGATCACCTCTCTCACCACAACAGCTCTCCTGCTGCCCCCAGATCTCTGAGCTCTGTGCATTACTTGGTCCTTCACTAGCTCTGGGGTCAGCCATGCCCTCAATTGTCCAGCAATTCCTGCAAGTGGGGTCTGAGGCCAAGATCTCACCAGGTCTTCACTCAGATGGTCAAGCCAGAGGTTCCCATATATTGCTAAGGCAAATCTGTCTCTTGATGGAGACACCTCCACACATTTGCTGTTGGATCTCTGGAGACCTGGAGAAACATCTAGAAAGCATCAACACTGGTTCCAGCTCCTGCTGGCCAGCTCACCATGGCCTGGCTTACATGGAACGAGGCAGTGCTGAGGATTTTAGAGCCATGGAATGGTTTGGGTTGGGAAGAACCTGAGAGCTCATCTCATTCCAACCCCTCTGCCATGAGCAGGACACCTTCCACTAGACCAGTGCAGGTGCTGGTGATGTGGAGATGCAGGGCCAAGCTCCCCATTGACCCTGGCACTACAGCACCCTGGCTGAGCCCTGCAGGAGATAGCGTGGCAAGGATGAAGGAAAATGGGATACACAGAGCTTGTGGGGAAGAGCAAACAGCCCTGGAGGAGTCATCACCAGGGCATGTGGCTCAGGGGGAAACGTGAGTAAGAGCTGATGCCTTTGGCAAGTGCAGGGTGGCTGCCAAAGGGATGCAGGGCCATTTCTCAACTCCAACCTGCTCTGACAGCTTCTTCTGGAGCCAGTGTCTGAAGCATCAGGATTAGCAGAGCCAGGTCCAAGCCCCACCCTGGGGCTGAGACACTCGTGTCCAGCATTAGGTAAGTGTGTGTGGAATGCAGCTTTCCTTCTGCTCGCTCAAGGATCAGCCCGTCCCCCACCCCAGGGAGCAGCAGCCACTGCAAGGGTACAGGGACAGGGACAGGAGGCACACACCAACACCTGACAGGCTCTGCTCCAGCCTGCTGGCTCCACCTGCCCCACTCTGCAGCACAGAAGTGACCAAGCCTGGGCTTCTACTGACTCACATCTCCAGGGTCTCCAGCGGGGCTGGCCGGTGTCTAACAGGGCTCCTGCACTGCTGTGGGAGTAACAGGATCTCTCTCTTTTCTCCCTACTCACCCGGATTTATGAGCTCTGGAGGAGTTTATCATCTTCCACACTATTCATTCATTCATTCATTCATTCATTCATCTATTCTATTGTTTAAAAATGCTGGGACATGTTGGGACAAGTTGGGACAAGGGTTGACTGGGAATCCCTCTGAGCTGGGCAGGGTGAGTGGGGTATTGTCCAAACCAGTACAGTGCGTGCCAAGGAGAGCTGAGGTGAGGGAGGCCACCCCATCTATGACACATCTGATTGTATCTGTAACCACAATGCCTCAACAGCTGCAGGAACAGCCCCATTCCCACCCAATTCCAGCTCAGCAGGTCACTAGGAACACCAGACTCTCTAGGGAAGTCCCAGCCTCCTGCAGCCTTTCCAAGGATCTGTGAAACTGGCGCTCAAGATGAGGAAAATGACCAGGGGTCACTTGCAGCTCTTTGGCCAAGGTATCAAAACCTCCCCTTGGTCATCTCAATTTTGTCATGGTGGGTTTCCCACCCTGGCAATGCAGAGGGTGTGAGCACCACTCCCCTCTGGCAGCTGAAGACAAGAGTTACTCAGGAGTCCGGGATGCAGACTGGGCCTTGGCAGATTTGGCCAAAAGAGATTCCTTACTCCCAGGAGAACTGCCTTCCTGTTTTAGTTTGGCAGATGGTTTCAATGGCCTTGAAGGGCAACACATTTTAGCAAAAAGCAGCCAGGAAGCAAGATAAAGAAAGGTGGGTACTCCCCAAACCCTCACAGGACATTGTGGTGAGAACATTTTCAGCCCAAACACTCTGAGGGAATACTTGGAAGCTGGATGGAACTGCTAGCAGCATCACCCCAAATGCAAACACCCAGCAGGGTGTAGGTGCTCACCCCAACCCTTCTGACCCACTGCATTCATGGGAGATTCAGCAGCTGAAACAAAGGCAGCTCGTCTCCCTCAACCAGCAGCAAACACCTCCCTGCCCCTGCTGGAATAGGCCCAGGGATGGAGGGAACCCAGCAGGTGAGGTTCATAAAGAAGCCAGGCCTCACAAACACCACAAATCCCATCATTTCACCCCAGTCAGCAGCTGATGGGTAATGCCTTCTCCTCCTCCCAGCACACAGGGCACAGGCCTGTGAGAACCTGGCAGAATCTCTGCCAGAGTCACCCCAGTGCCAGAGTCCCCTTTATGCCCACCCCAGAAATGGAGTGGAAATGCTGCACAAGTCTGCCTTGAATGTTTGTGTGCACTCGCCTGTGCACCACCCCAACCCTGCCCATGCCTGAACCCCCAAATCCAGCATTCAGCCAAGCCCCCAGATGCCTGTGTGGGCAGGCTCAGCCCCTGTCCCTGAAGGTTTCTCTTCTGTGGACACACAGGTGCAGGCACAGGTGTAAAATAAATCTGTGGCATTGGAATGGCTGAGGGATGGGACATGTGCCAGAGAGCAAGAGAGAGGGAGGAGGAGAGAGGGAAGAGGCAAGGGCTGCACAGTGTGAGGAGGAGAGGGGTGAGCAGCTGGGCAGTACTGGCCAGAGCTCCACCAGAACCAGGAGGAAACAGAAATCCCAAATAGCCACTCTGCTTGGACAAGAAGGGAAAGAGGTAAAACTTGTCCAAAGCTAAAAGAAATACACTGGGAAGGAAAAGAGCGTTTCTGTGGGGAAACTCCTCCTGACAAACACCAAAGCCAACCACTATGCCTCATTGTCCCCAAGTCACCCTGCTGTCCCCAGGGCCAGGCTGTGGCAGGGCCTGCTGGCCATATGGGTTTGTGGGTGCGTGGGAGAGCTCAACACTTCCAGCCTGGAAATAGAACAAAAGCCAGGAAAAAGGAGAAGCGTCCAAGGTCACCAGCATTATGGCAAACACCCTCCTGCCCTCAGGTCTCCTCAGGAAGGGGACAAGGTTCCCCCAGCATCAGCCTTGGCTCTCTGGGGCTGCAGCAGAGAAGGCAGCGTAAGGAGGGAGCGTGTGAATGTCCAAGGAGCCTCCTGAGCCCACCAGGGCTGTGGAACAACCAGCCCTGACCAAAGCCTTGCTGAGGGGTGCAGGGACAGCTGAGGAAGACCCTTCAGAGCAGAAGGCCCAGCAGGATGGCACTGGGGAGGAGGAAGAGTGAAAAGCCCGAGCAGGTACTGGGGGCTCCTCCTTTGGGTGGATCCACATTTGTCTGGTCCGAGTTTGTCTCCTGCTCTTCTGTGTCCAGGGCATATATGGAAGGAAAAGAAGACAAGATGAAGTTAGAGTAGAAGATCCTGTTTAGTGAAGGAGCTAAGAGCCTCTCCATTGCCTGTCTCTACTTCTGGAAATGGGTCTAACTTGGGCTCACAGGAAAGAGTGATCTTGGTTGCCTCAACAGGATCAGGTCTTTGTGCTCTGGCTTTGTGCTTGTGGCAGTTTTTGGTCGTGTCTTTGTTATTGTGGCACATGCTGGTGTTGTAGCAGCAGATATTGGCTTAGCCAGAGTTGTGGTGGGTTTTGGCTTAGCCAGAGTTGTCATGGGTTTTGGTGTTGTGGGTTTTGGCCTGGCTGGGGTTTTTGTTGGGAGAGTTTTGGCAGGTTTTGGTTTGGCTCTTGTGATGGGAGAGAATACTGGGGGTTTGGGCTTGGCTGTGCTTGGCAGCGTGGCTGTGGGGGGTGGTTTGCTGAAGTGGCTGGAAGTGAGTTTTTGGATGGTGGTTGGAAGTGAGTTTGTGGATGGTGGCTTGGCTGTGGTTATGGTGGCCTCATGCTGTGGGTTCTAGTTTGGCTGTGGCTGTGAGTTTTGGCAGGGCTGTTAGGGTGGATGAAAGAGATGCAGAGATGAAAAGTGCCGTGGGTTAGGGCTGGTTCACCTCCATGTATTCATGCAGTGAGCAGGACCAACAGAAACCAGTGAGGGGCTGAAACAGCAGCTGAGCCCTCTCAGGTCACTCTGGGCCACCCCCCACTCTGGGGTTCCCAATCTGGAGACATCTCATGGCACTCACATCCTCCTGCCATGCAAGGGGCAAATAATGCTGCCTAACTGGGTACAAGCCCCTTGACCAATCCTCCTCATCTTGAGGCAGTTGACCTCTGTTAGGAGCAGCAATTGCTCCTGATGTCTCATGGTCCAGCCCTGGAACTGCAGTTCAGGCCTTCCCGACAGCTCCAGGAGGGTTCAGAGCTCAGACCCAGCCTGGGGTCTCAGTCCCAACAGCCCCTCCTGGCCTCCCCTCACTCACCACACAGGTTGTTCACACAGACTGTGTCCTTGGGACAGTTCACACAAGAGGGTCCATCCCGGTAGGGCTTGTCTTTCTTTATATTACTCCTGGAAGCAGAAAATGCCAAGATAAAGAAGACATGAGGAAAGGGGAAACACCCATCTCAGAGAGGGGCTGATTCAGCTGGGATATCCCAGCCAAGGCAAAACTTGGGATTAATGCAGCAAACAGGTCTTGGTCTCCTGTCATGGCCTGTCAGGGCCATTTACTCACCAGCCTGACCCCAAGGCAGCTAAAGCCAGGGCAGAAAACTCCGTGGAGCAGATCCCTCACTCCCTTAGAACAGAGCAGGGGATGGATATTGGGGCCTGGGACTTACGGGGGATAATAGCTGCAAACAAGCAGGTGCACGTTCTCTGTTTCAGCTCCATCGATCTTCTCACAAAAACTGCTCCCACAGCCAACATGAGCTGTATATGCCCAGACCACCTAAGGCAAAGACCAGGGTTGAAGGTGAGGGCTCTGGTTGAAGGCAGTCTCTCCCCTGGCCTTAAAGTCTGCTGCAATATCTTCCTCATCTCCCAGCATGTGCCCCAGATCCCCATCCCCATGTTGCTTTGGCATTCAGGATCTTCCCCCTTGCCCCTGTCTGAACCTTCCCAAGGTCATATATTCCACTGCCACAGCTTTCCTACAATATAGTCTGCCCAAGCAGAGCATCACCACCTCTGCTATGGTCTTGGAACCATCCATCCATCCATCCATCCATCCATCCATCCATCCATCCATCCAATTACCACCACATTCTCTTCTCCTCCTTGCTCCCACCCAAGCTGTGAAGAAACACTTGGACCTCATCCTTCCACCCAAGACAAGCTGGCACTGAGCTGGCACTGCTGAGCAGCCAAAAAAAGGGCTGCAGGGCTTGTCTCAGAAAAGTTCTTCTCCAAAAGGCCACTCATGATTGACACCATGCCCAGGTCTGCCTCTATCATTGTGAATCCCACCTGGTTCCCTGTCCTTTTGCAAAGATTTTGGAGGAGCTGGGGCAGTGGCCCAGCTCCTGTCCCGACAGCCCCTCCACCCCAGCAGCTGGTACCTGGATGTAGTTCTCACACGTCTGTCCGGGGACACACTCAGATGTTTTCCAGTTGTAGAATTTCCTCTCTGCATTCCATTCCTCAATGGCCAATTTCACATCCAGGGTTGAAGGTGAAGCAAAGAGGTTTAACCTGCCAGGGCCCCCGTTCTGGGACCACGTGCACTTCTCTGCATGCTTTTGAGCATCAACCTCCAGGTCCGTGTCCCAGGTCTGCAAGGAGCTCAGAGTCAGCACACAGGAGGGACACTGGGCTCTCCAGCAGGAACAAAGCACTCACCAAGCACCCCTGCACTGCCTGGCTGCAGTTTCCCCATCCATGAGGAAAATTCAAACCCCTACCCAACACAGTCCTCAGGAGAGGGGAGCTCCATGGTCAGTCCCAGCACAAGCCGTGGTTTATGGGTCAAACAGGAGAAGGTCAGGGCACCAGCAAAACTCTCACAACCTCTTCTGGAACTCATCTAACACCATCCTCAACTCAGCATGCAGAAACCATCACAGTGCTGGCTCTGTCCCCTTTGAGTCTGCAGTCACTGGTTAGGTCTCCTCTCCCTGAATTTAGGGCTTTGTTTGGTTGTTAAACTCCCATTTACCAGCCCACAAAGGCTTTACTCATTCTGGGCAACTTCTGGGCCAGGCAGGGAGGTGTCCTCCAAGCACACTGTAACCCAAGAGGAAAGGGCTCCAACTTTCCAGGATAAAAGTTGTCCTCCTCCTCCCCATGATTTGCAAACAATGAGGAAAAATCACATGTGCAAGATAAAACCTCATAGCCAAGTTCTAATCAAATCAAGAGTCTGAGCAAGACAAAAAGCACCAGCTCTAGAGCTCAGTTTTGCTCCCACTGCAACCACACGTGATGTGGGACCTGGCTCAATTTCCACAAGCAAAACAGAGGATCCCTCACATCCAAGGCACCTCTGCACAAGGCATGGGGAGGAGTAGGAGCATGATGGGCCCCAATAATTGACGGACTTGACCAATATGTTTGAAGTTGATGCAAATACAGAGCACAGTGTGATGTCCCACACAGCAGGATTCCCACACCACCTCTTGGCAATGACCATGCCAAAGTCTCCAGGTCATGGCACCCGCTCATGGCAGGGTCTCACCTGCCCTTCCTGCCATCACAGGGAGCTCCAGCAGGCACTCAGCTGAGTGAGTGCTGCATCTGGGGACTCACATCACACTTAGGAACCTCCAGAAAATGACCAAAGATGACTCCAAAGGTAAAGGAAACTCTTCTCTTTAGAGGCAGTTTAGGGAACCCCTCCATTAACACCTACTTGTAACCCTACATGAGAATTGCTCTGCCTCCCCATAGGAACTCCCTGATCCCTCCTTGCGTTAAGATCCAGCCTTGGACCACACAAACACCCCAAAACTCCTCTGAAATAAAAGCCACTTACCATCTTCATCATAGCCTTGGCAGGAGGAGAGACCTGGGAGCGATATTTATTATGCTCATCCAAGATGATCTTCTTTTCTTCATCACTCAGGCACCAGCTCAGTTCCAGCACTGAGAGCACCAGGAGGACAGAAAGGAGACCTGAGCTCAGCATCGTGCAGGCAGCTTCTGCTCTCAGCAGCCCACGGCTCTGGCAGTCAGATTTAAAGCACCTCCCAAAAGCAAGGAACACCCAACAGCTTGAAGACTGGGGAGGAAATGTATTTATTAGAGTTTTTGAGCCACGTGGGACACACCCGTGTCACATATTGGCCTTGATGGAGCGGCTGCACTGGGGCTGGTGCCAACGAACATGCATGGTCACTCTCCATGCCTGAATCCTAGTCCCTGGATTGGCATTCTTCATCCAAGCCTCAGCCATCCCTTGAGCCCTCAGTTAAGGGTCCCCTTGTTTACCTCTTGTTCTTTTCTCAAAATCACAGAATAGCTGGGGTTGGAAGGGCCCTCTGGAAATCATCCAGTCCAACCCCTCTGCAAGATCACCTGGAACAGGTGATACAGGAACATATCCTGGTGGGTTTGGGATATCTCCAGAGTGAGAGACTCCATAACTCCCTAGGCACCTGTTCCAGTGCTCTGCCACCCTCCATGGAATTAAGTTTTTTCTTGTCTTGAGGTGGAACTTCTTGTATTTTGAGCTTATGGCCATTGTTCCTTGTCCTGTTGCTGGGCAGAACTAGAGTCTGACACTATCCTCTGACACCTCCTGGATATATTTACATGGATTGATGAGATCCCCCTCAGCCTTCTCTTCTCCAGACTAACCAGGCCCAGCTCTAGCAGTCTCTCCTCATCAGAGGGCTGCTCCAGTCCCATAATCTTTATGGCCTCCATTGGACTCTCTCCAGTAACTCCTGTCTTTCTTGAACTTGGAGACCAGAACTGAACACAGATATGGCCTCCCCAGGGCAGAGCAGAGGGTAAGGATCTGCTGACCTGCTCACCACACTCTTCCCCAGGATCCCGTTGTCCCTCCTGGCCCCAGGGCACACTGCTGGCTCATGGTGGACTCATGGACCCCCTGGTCCTTCTCTGCAGAGCTGCTCCCCAGTAGGTCACCCCCAGCCTGTGCTGGTACCTGGGGTTATCCCTCCACAGGTGCAGGACCTGCACTTGCTCCTGTTGAACCTCATTAGGTTCCTCTCCATCCAACTCTGCAGCCTGTCCAGGTCCCTCTGAATGGCAGCCCAGCCTTCGGGTGGATCAGCCACTCCCCCAGTTCTGTATCTTCACCAAACCCAGGGTCCATTCCATCCCTTCATCCAGGCTGTTGGTAAACAAGTTGGATAAGACTGGACCCAGTACTGATCCCTGGGGAATGCCAGGCCTCCAGCTGGATTCTGCTCTGCTCACAACCCACTGAGCTCAGCCATTGGGCCAGTTCTTGATCCACCTCACTGAGCTTTCATCCAACTCACATTTCCTGATCGTATCCATGGGGATGTTACAGGACACAGTGTCAAAAACCTTGCTGAAGTCAAGGTAGACACCACCCACTGCTGTCCTCCATCAACCCATCCTGCTGTGCCATCACAGAGGGCATCAGATTGGTCAAGCAGGATTTCCTCTTGGTGAATCCATGCTGACCACTCCCAATAACCTCCTTTACTTTCAGGTGCTTGGTGGCCTTCAGAATGAGCTGCTCCATCACCTTTCAGGGATGAAGGTGAGGCTAACTTGCTGGGAATTTCCCAGATCCTCCTTGTGCCCTTTCTGAAGGCAGGACTTAAACACTGGCTTTTCTCCAATCACTGGGCACCTCTCTCATTCTCCAGGGTTTTTTAATGATGGAGAGTGGCTAAGCAACCACCTCTGCCAGCTCCCTCAGCACCTGTGGGTGCATCCCACCATGGATTTATGTTAAGTCTGCCTGGCTGATCTCTCTCAACTTTCTGTGACCAAGGGGAAGTTCCCCTTTCTCCATCCTTCATCTCTTACTTCCAAAGTCTGCTATTCCTGAAGTCTGCTCTCAGCAATAAAGCCTGAGGCAAAGAAGGTGTTGAGTAATTTCACCTTCTCTGTGCCTTCTGTGCCCAGGGCACCCAGTGGATTCAGCAGCAGCCCCACATTTTCCCTAATCTTCCTTCTGCTGCTGAATGCACTTGGAGAAGCCCTTCTTGTTGTTTTTGATGTCCCTTGCCAGACTCAGTTCCAAGTGGGCTGTGGCCTTCCTCCTTGCATCCCTGCATACCTTGAAGATGTTCCTCTAGATCTCTCACGTGCTTGTCCCTTTTTCAACATCCCATCAATTTCTTTCTTCCGTTTGAGAATTGCTAAAACCTCACTGCTCTTCCATGCAGGTCTCCTGTCCTCTTTGCTTGATTTCTGGATCATAGGGATGCACTGGTCTTAAGTTTGGATGCTTGAATATTGACCAGCTCTTTTGGGCCCCCTTCCCTTCTAGAGCCCTATTCCATGAGATTCCTCTAAGTAGGTCCTTGGAAAGGTTGAAGTGGCTCTCTGGAAAATCAGGGTTCTAGCCCTGCTACTGCTTTGCCTCCCACACAAGACCCTGAGTTTCACCATAACATGGGTCACTACAGGTAAGGCTTTCCCCAACCTTCCAAACTTCAACCAATCTCTCCTGGTTTGCTAGTACCAAACAGAAACACACCTCTCCTCCTTGGCTCCTCCACCACTTGTATCAAAAAGTTATTTTCAATGAACTGCAGGAACTTCCTGGACTTCCAGTCTGTGCCAGGCTGTGCTGTCCGTCTCTCCAACAAATCAGGATGGTTGAAGCTCCCCAGGAGAAGCAGGACCTTTGACCATGAGGCAACTTCCAGCTGCCCAGAGAAAACCTCATCAGCTTCCTCCTCACCTGTAGTAAATACCCACCACAGTGTCACCCACAGTCTGTAACAACAACCCCACAGCAACTGACAAAGCCCTGTTTTCACAGAGGTCCTCCCCTATCCCTGGAATGCAGCTGCCTTAGAAACAAAGGCAGCAAGATGCAATTGCTGAGAGCACTTTGCAGCACAGCACCTCCCCAGCCAGAGGGAGCCCCGTGGCTGTGATGGGGGGACAGCATTTGGCACTGAGGAGCAGCCCCTGGGCTGCCCGGCCTGCTGGGAGCAGGGGCAAGCAGAGGGCTGGTGCCTCTTCCCTGAACCAGCAGGAGAGGGGAGCAGGAGAGGAAGAGCAGGGTACAGAGCTGAGCTGGCCCCAAACAGGAGAGCTGGGAGTCTGTGGCTGCCCTCGGGGCTGGCTGGAACACCAAACCATGGGCTCTGCATTGACAGGATGTGTGCATTGCAGCTTTCCTTCTCCCCACACCCCATGGAGCAGCAGCCACTGCACGGGGACAGGGACAGGAGGCACACACCAACACCTGACAGGCTCTGCTCCAGCCTGCTGGCTCCAGCCTGCCCCACTCTGCAGCACAGAAGTGACCAAGCCTGGGCTTCTACTGACTCACATCTCCAGGGTCTCCAGCGGGGCTGGCCGGTGTCTAACAGGGCTCCTGCTGTGGGAGTAACAGGATCTCTCTCTTTTCTCCCTACTCGCCCGGATTTATGAGCTCTGGAGGAGTTTATCGTCTTCCACGCCTCAAAGTTTGGCTAAAATCAACTCAAATGTGAAGGATATATGGAGATTGTTGCTGGGAAGAAAAGAAAGGAGGGACAGGCAGAGCCGTTGCATCAACTTTGTTCAGAGAATCAGGCTAAAACTCACAGAAAGTTTCCCAAACTGCTCATTTTTCACAGTGTTTCTTATGACATTTTCCTAACAAAAGTGTTCTGACTTTTCATTTAGAATTACACTTCCCTTAGAAAAAGTGCCCCAAAAAAGGTTAAAGAACCCCTCAATAGCTGATATGCAACATGAAAATAAAAATCAGGAAAAGGGAAAAGGGTCATTAACACTTGTATTTAATTGCAAAAATTAAAAACTTTTTTATTCTTCTTACATACAAATCTCATTTATTTACATACTTTACAGGCTTTTCTCAAGTATTTACAAAGTTTGCAATATATTAAATTAGGACCATCCATAAAATTCTGCATTAAGTGCATATTCACATTCTTTTTTTTTTATCCATCACTAAGTTTAGTGTTCAGCATTGAAACAGTCTTTATGCATATATAGCTTTACTTCCCAGCACCTATGAGCCTTTAGAATGTGGCTCCCCTCCCCAAGACAAAGAGATAATGCTAAAAGTAAATCACCTGCCATTTGTTTGAATGTCCAAAGCAAAGGGAAGTCCAGCATCTCCCTTGTCTAACTCAGCAGGACACTAAATCTGCCCTTTACAAGGAGGAGGTTCCTGAAGAGGAGGATTTCGAGTTCTACCTATAAAAATTACCAAGAGGAGAAAGTTTGGTTTGCAGGAAGCCAAAGCTCTTTGTGCACCCATCAAAATGGCCTCACCCAAGGAAATGTTCAATTCTCCTGGGGGCCACAGGGCTGAACGAGGACCTGGGATTGGGGTGTGGGGAAACTCCCCTCCTGGAGAGAGGGAACAAGAGGGTTTCAAGGCAGAAGGATCCCCATTTCTGAGACACTGGTGTTTATAGAGCTCCCATCTCTACCATGAGATGCTCTCCTGCTCCCCACCTCCTCCTGCTGCTGCTGGAGCCCAGGAGGGAGGGGAGGTGCTTTGATCCAGCCCAGACAAACCAGCTTCTCCTCCAGAACACTGCAAAAACAGGCTTGGTGGGAGAAGCTGCACTCTGGAGACGCACAGGAAATCTGACTCAAAGCTCTCCAGGGCCTTGCAAAGAGATCCCTCAGGGGAATCAATGTGTGCAATAACAGTGGGCAGGGAAAAAAATTGAAAAGGAACAAAGAAAGCAAAAAAAGAATCAATAGAAACTGCCAGGTTGGCTCCCTTGGGGGCCGCTGATTTCCTGGTACTGAAGTAAATCATAATAATCCTTTCTCCTCCTTTCAGATACCCTGAGTTCAGGACTGACTGACAGCACTGGTCAGTGACCCCTGCTTTGGGGAGCAGCTTTAAACCACGATGCTCCTGCCCAGCTGACAGGGACAGCCTGTCCTTCCAGCCTGGCAAGTGCAGAGGTGACCCCTCCTCACCTCTGCCCACTGGGCTCGTGGGGAGTACCGATTTCTGGTGTGACTTCAGAGCAGCTTTGCAGCCTTTGGGATGTGGGGTGAGGAGGATTCCAGCTCCCAGCTCACAGGCAATGAGCTCTAAAGCACACAAAGGGATTTTAAAATGTATTAACTGGGAACTTGTGTGAGCTGGGCAGAGGGAAAGTGGGAGATTGTCCAAACCAGCACAGAGAGTGCAAAAGAGGAGCTGAGGTGAGGGAGACCATGGTGGGACACCCCTCTGTGACTCATGTGATCATGGCTGTGAAACCTCAACAGCTGCAGGAACAGCCCTGTTCCACCTGAGCAGGCCACTAGGACCACCAGCCTCCCTAGGGAAGTCCTGCAGCCTTTCCAGGGACTCTGTGAAGCTGGAGCTCTGGATGTGGAAGACGACCAGGGCTTAATTGCAATAAAGGTATCAAAACCTCCCTTTGGCCATCCCAGTTCTGCCATTGTGGCCTCACCTCCGGGTTTCCCGCTGTGGCTCCTTGCCTGCCCTGGGATGTGGAAGGTGTGAGCACCACTCCTCTGGCAGCTGGAGACAGGAGCTGCTCTGGAAGCCGTGCTGCAGGCTGGGGCTCTGCACTTCGGCCAAAATTGACTCTTTATCAGCAGGAGAATTGCCCTCCTGTTTTAGTTTAGCAGCTAATTCCTTACAGCCTTTGGAAGAGGAAGAGAAAATATACCGGAGAGCTTAAAAACAAATGATGTAAGCTCCGAAGGGAGCGAGGCTGGGACATATGCAATGTATCGCTGAGACAGAGCTGGAAACTTATGCAGAGCCCATAAAGTGCACTTGGAAGGCTGCTCTGCACACAGGCCAGACTCACCAGCTCCTGTCCAACCAGCTGCAACTCTTCAAGGAAGGCTGCAACTCTTCGAGGAAGGGAGAAGCACTACGTGAGAACATTTCTGCTAAACAGACACAAACCTGCCCCTTCCTCCCCCCAGTCCAAACAGCAACTGTAAATAGATCCATTTTCTCTGCTTCTTCCCGAAAGAGCCAGCCAGCCACAATGGCTTAAGTGTGACTCTCAAAATCCAGGCATTTCACAGACACTTGGGAATTGTCTCCGCAGCTCTTTTACAAGTTACAGTCAAGGACACTTAGCGGTGACAGTGTCACCGAACCGCCGCAATCTCAGCAAGAATGGCTCCAGCAGCATCTTTGAGCAAATGCTTTACAAAAATGGGTCAGATACAAAAGCAGTGAGAGGTGAAGTAACCTGGCAGCCTTTGAATTTGATTTGAGAAGCTGCCAAAGTGTAAATAGCAACAGTCACTAATGAGGCCCTAATTCTGCCATCACTGAACTCCCAAATTTCCATTAACTAAGACCCAGGCTTTAAGAGGAAGGAGGGGGGTGGTGTGTGTGTGTGTCTTGGCATGTACAAGATTTAATGTAGTGTCATGAGTGTGAAATACACTCCAAGCAGTGAGAACACTAATGCAAGTTCTATTAGCCCAATTCCCTTTAATACTCGGTAACAAATTATATCAGTCCTTTTCTATCCTGAGAGAGCCAGACTCTCCCCTTTTGGTTCTACTGGATCTGGTGTGTGTCCAGCATCAAGGGCCATGCACAGACTGACACAGGTGCTGGGCTTGTTCTCATTGTTTTGACAGGAGAAAAACAAGGGTTATGCATAGAAATGTTTGTAGTGTCAAGGCCTCAGACTAAATTCTTTGGAGCAGGAACTGTCCTCTGCCTTATTCTTGTACAGGAGCCAGAAGTGGTCATCCCACTTGGCAGCTTTTGTCAACTCCTAATCAGATTAGCACAATGTTTGCTCCCATTCTCCTCAAAAACAAAGGCTGGACAGACATTTTCCCAATCTGTCATTTTACATGTACCTAAAATATTTACAGAGAAAAAGGCTCTTGCTCCTGAGAACAGAGTTAACCAAAACCCCTCCCAACTCCATATTAACAAGTGTGAGAGTATGTCCTGAACTCCAGCCCTGGCCTATGAGTTCAGCCTGCCACATCTGTAAATGATCTTCAGCAGTGGGATCAGACCCAAAGGATCAGACTTGGAAGGGAGCGGAGCATCCGCAGTCTGCACACACCGAACCCGAGCCTCTCTCAGGGCACTGGAGACAGCGCTGCTCCAGCAGCAGGAAACACGCAAAGGCAGCTTGGAAAGGACCCAGGAAAAACCAACGTTCATTCTGAAGACAGAGTTCCAGGTCTGGAAGGAGTCAATGCAAAAATATGCCAGGGAAGAGGGAGGTTTCAGGTGCTCCCAGAGGTACCGTGGGCTGGGAACGCAGGCAGTGCCTCCAAAAACAAGGAGCAGCTGAGAACGGCTGTGCAGCCCTTGGTGTCTGAGGTGAAAGCTGGACAGAGCTGCTCTCTCCCAGCCCCAGCTCCATCCAGAACTCCAGCACTGCCAGCACCTCTAAGATGTGTGTCAGTGTTTTTGCAGGAAAGGAAGTGGAGGTGAAGAAAAGCACAATTACCATTTGACTCAACTCACAACCTGCTGACAGAGAGCTGCAGAAGGGTGATCACAACACAGAGAGGCCTGAAGGGATTCTTTTGGTACAAGAAGGATGCAGTGGGTGAGTTTCTGCCCTCAGGCTCAAGGCTCTCCCCAGCCAGGGAGCAGGAGCCAAGGTCAGCTCTGCAGGGCTCACACATCTGCAGACGTGAGTGCTGGGACACATCACCAATCCATTCCCTTTATAGAACAGGCCTGACTACACAGGCTCAAAGCTTCCTCCTCAGGAGGAATGTACACAGAAATGTCACACACCCCATCCACTCCCAAACCCCCAGGAAGTTTCAGAAGTGCCATAATCCACAAAGAACATAAGGTGAATCTCATCCTGAGAAATCCATCTGCTGCTCCTGGAAAAAAAAACCCTTTTCTGCAAACCCTGGGCTTACCTGAGGGGACAGGGAGGGTCATAAATAGCTTGAGCTTCTCCCAAAATACATTTGAGGAAAGGCAAAGGATTACCTCAAGGGTCAGGAAAATAGTCCTTTTTAAACACTGTAAACATGCAGGGTGGCAAAGCTGCCTGCCCCAGTTGCCCCGGCTCGCTCCTTTCAAGACGCTGCCTTGGCTTCAAAGCTGAAAGTCTTCTTGTCCTGGGAACAGCTCTGTTTTCCCACCCCAGCACCCTTAGCTGGCAGCTCCATCACAAATCACCGCTGGCTCTGTCCCTCTGGCCGTGAAGCTCATTGTCCAGTGATCTGTGCTGGCATAACCTTGGGAAGAGGCAATGGAGAGGCTCTGTTAGATGAGCCCATCCTTAACGAGTGCTCCCATTCCCCACAAAGGGATGTGGTCATGCAGGAGCTCTTTGGAAAGACCCTTCCCTCAGTGGGCACTGGGTTTGTAATGCCCATTGTGTACCCACACTGCTCAGCCTGGAGCATCTCCAGTGTTGGAGTTCCAGGTCACAAACTCCCAGTCCAGGAGGATCACTCCCTGTGCTGTGACAAACAGGCACACACCAGTCTGGAGGTGACAATGGCACAAACCACCATCCCAGGTGTCAGACAGAAAAGACCCAGCTGGAAGCACTCTCCTGACTGCACTTCCAGTCCCTGCCAGCCACAGCTCTGGTACTCACCCAAATCTCCAGCTTCCAGCTCCACCTTGAACACCTCACAGTGTCCTCTGCACGTGTCCAGGGGTGCAACAGTCAGGGTGAGCTGCCCACTCCCAACAGCAAAGAGGCTGTGCAGGCTGTAGCTCTAGGATGAGAGGAGAGGATTTCAAAAGCCTGGCCAGCTCTCCTTGGCTCTGTCTGCCCAAAGCAGGGACAGTCACTGCCCTGCAGGCAGGTGAGACAGAGCAAACAACACGTTTGCTGCTCCACCAGGTATCAGTGGAGCACAGAATCTTAGCTGAGGTCAGCTGCATGCAAGGGCTCTCCTCTGCTCCAAGGCAAGGCAGAGCCTGCACATCCCCACAACCCAGGAAAACACAGAGGAGGAGATCAGGCCAGAAGCCTGAAGTGTCTCAGAATGAGTGAGACTCACTGCCAGGAACAGCTCCTAAAATGCAACTCTTAAAACAATCCTGCCCAACTGTGCACACAAAGACCTCACCCAGCTGTAGAGCAAGGCCAGACACATGAATGGAGCAGGAAAGGGGTGTTGGAATAAGATGATCTTTAAGTCCCTCTGTTTCTGTGACATCTCCAGCTCCAAGGGAGATGGGCACAGGGCATCTCCTGCCCCAAAGTAGACACAAGTGCTGGGAGGCAAAGCCACCTTG